CCCCCCTCCTTTCCTCTTTGTCATTTGTTTTTGTTCCTTTTTAACTAGTTTCAGTTGCTTCCCTCAATTTTAGCTAAACTTCGTTGTAAGAGGGTTACTCTCCAGTAGATTAATAATATATCTTTTGAATTCAGATAGGTAAATCACATAGCCTTATCGGTAGACGGTATTTAAAACTTTAACATGTCAGACGCCAACAGTGTTGGGGTGGGGGAGATAAATTCTAGTTTTACATATTCCAGCCCTCTTATGACCAACGTTTGGTAATCATTTCTCTTAAATACGGACTGAATTTCCCAAAAACCAAGACTTAAAATTGACTTATTGGCAGTTTAAAGAAGCGTATTGAAGCGTTCTTACTTAAAAGCGCCAACTTTTTTGTTCAACTTTACGGATGTAGCACTAAATTGTGCTTCTTGAGGTGTTGTTGAATTGGATTAAAAATGCCCGAGACGTTGGAAATACGTTTAAATATGCATATTATCACGTGTTCGTGTGTGCAGTTTTTTGGGAAACTTTCGTCTTCTAGTTTCGCAAACCTATTAGGCGATATTCACACTGGGATAGTTAAAATGAAATACCATTTTTCACTAAAAGTGAATAATTTTTTGTTGAAATTAATCCAGAAAGGTTACGTTAACCTTACCAATTCATTTCATAGGAGCTTTTGACAGCAACATTATGGTCACAAATAAGGTAGTAGGCATTACTCGGATGGAAAGTTCGTGGTAATATGAGAGGTAGTAGAACGGTTCGATCCACGAAGTCCAATGTTCTTCCCGCTCTTCACCACTCGCAGTACCCTTGCCAAATTAATTTTATTCATTTCACTTTAGGGTAACTCAGAATTCGCTTACATTTAATTTCATTTAATAATAAACAAATTTGATTTTTTACAATTTTAGACGTCGTAATCAACTCTCTAAGTCGGTTTATTTGAGTTCATCCGGCCCAACTAGCCAATCACAAACCCGTTTCGAACGCCCGCTGAACGAACAGAGGTCCTCTCGTTTCGCTAAATCCGCCGATTTCCAGAGTTCAAATCTGGCTTCCGGTGAGCCCACTACGTTCCAAACTGGCGAACTCAAAAAACATGGTAGGTATAGTAAATTCGAGTTTATTGGCCTGCAATTCACTTTCGGCTAAGCAAAATTTCATATCCGCTTGTTTGCTAGTCTGATCGGTTTTATCTTAAAAGCGCATATCGATTCCCGCGCATCTAGCTACAAAAGTAATCAATTAATGGTTCAAATCCAGGATGAAAGGAAGATTGTAAGTCTTTGGACGAGATTCCATCTAATTCCATGTCAGCTTACATTCATTGTAAAGTATCCTAAATATGAGCTAGAGATCTTAAAATAGTATGGTTGTTGATATTTCAAATGTGGTTAGCTTTTCTTCGTCTCAATCTAACATCCCCATGTTCGGGTGTTGAAAATCTTAAAAATCATAATTTTCTTCCTGGTTCCTCTATGCAGTAATATTTCGGAATTGATTTCCCTCATAAAAATATTCACCTCGGATTCCTACTTCATTAAGCTGGGTGAAAACCATTATGTCATTCACATCCAGCTGATCTCTACACCAAATTACTGAAACAGAAATTTATGCTGTGCACTACGTGATTCACATTAATGAAGAATTCCTCAATTTATCACCTCCCGTCTAGTTGAGCCTACTACCCCTCTTACTCAAAGTAGTCCAAACTAGCACATTATATTCAAGCACCCTTGTTTATCAGAACGTTAGCAGTCTAAATACCACCAAAGAATTTGCTCTGTCAGTTTTTTGAACTTGCCAAAGTTTATTATAACTACTAATGTCTCTTCAAACATCTGATAATAAAAGCATTGGACCAGCAATGGAAGTAAGTTAAGGTATTTTGGTCAACACAAGAAGTCATTTGCAATTGATTTGTCATTCTTATATAAAACACCACTTAGCATGAACGCACTTAATAAATGTTTGGATGGAAAGTTTTTTGCAAATTGTTCTTCTGATTCACAAAATTTGGTATATTCAATGTTTTGCCGACCTCAAATTAATTACTCAAGGAGATTCAAAAATAATATCAAGTAAAGATCGTAGATCGGTACAACTTATTAGTTTTACGCCTGCATTTATTTTTAAAATGCACTAATCGATCATATAAAGGCGTAGCCATATCTGAGAGTAGTCCATGGAAAAAGACTTTGTTGATTGTTATTTTATCAGCGTTTCAAAGAATCCTTTGTTTAGCTTACGCTTAATCTGGTACCAATCTGATGACCAGTTATTATTGTATCGCGCAAATGGATTAACTCGATTTCATAGACATAACGTGGTATATCGGGCCGATATTTGCGGGTGAACAGTGCTTGACGGATATGTATTTGGAAATGAAACTGAACAATGTCTGTCGGGTGAGGATTACATGCTCTTCTATTGAACTTAAGCAAGTCTGCATGATGAAATACATGGTGTCCCAAAAAATGTATGCACACCTGAAATAATTGTAAGCATATTGTTAAATATTTCATTTTTCTGCAGTAGTCTGTTATTTTAAACATAAGAGAAAACTTTGAGGATGAGTGGTTTTACTGTCAGCAAGATGGAGCACCGCCCCCCACCCCCCACATTACCATCGCTATTTTAGGTCTTGTCAAACAGGTGGATTGGATGAAGACGTTTTGTTGAATATCCTCCCCGTTCACTAGCCCTCACACCAGTTTATTTTTTCTTATGGGGTACTTAAAAAACAATGCCTACGTTACGAAATCTTCAGCAGACACTGAATTAAGAGAAGCCATTGAGAATGAATGCGTCAAAACCCCAGGGGAATTATTTCATGATATATGAGATTCCATTGCTTGGCGTTGTCAGCAGTGCCTGAACCGCAATGGACGTTAGTTTGAGATAAATCAGGCGAAAAAATAAAATTATACTTGTAAAACAGTTTTACGCTTTTTTAGATAATAAAATTCTAATTGAACGCCACCTTTACGATTAGTTACGATGTGCATACATTTTTTCGGGACACCCTGTAGTTATTTCATCTTTTTAATCACTGGACCTCCACGAAGGAATGTTTTAGTAAATATTGAAAAAGGAGATTTGAGAATTCCTGTTGAATGCCGCCTTAATATGCGGCTGGTGTCTCTGTCCTTGAATGTTTAACTTGAAGGCGACTGGGGGGGGGCTACCTGTATAAGTAGCTGTCGGATTTCACTATTTCGATATCTCAGCCTCTTTCATTTTCGTATTCCCGATCAATGCGGACCGCAGGAAAGGGTACATCCAAAATGGATTTTATTTAACTGATTAGTTGGTGGCACCATTTTCATCTTCGAAGTCACTGCACTTCTACTTGATAAAAGCGGAAATATTTAGCAAGTAAAATTCAAGTATGCGAATTTGCCAGCATGTACACACAAAGAATAAAAACTGCAATTAGATTGATGTAAACACAGATTTTGTGCTTTTTACAGTCTTGTTACTCATGTTTTGTCATTTGCATGTTTGAAAAATAAAGTGTGATACATTTTGTCTTCCAATCTTTACCGTGCCTTCACCATCTCCTGCCGGCATAAAAAATCAAGTCTTACAGTCCGGTTGTATGGCGTTGATTGAAATGCTATGGTTTTTAACTAGGGTAATTCCAGTTTCCATCAGACAGACCTTAAATGTAGCCCCAGATATGAATAAAATAAATGGCAATTGAAAATATTGAGCCCCTATTGAGGTACAACTAAACTTCAATAATGAACTGGTGCACCTAGTAATCGAGTGACTATATATTGAATTAGCACTTGGATCTTGTTTTAATAGACCTCTTCGCTTGTCCATTTGCAGGTTCGAATTCGCTGATGCAATGGTTTAAGCAGGGAGTTCGCAAATTGCGAAATAGCCTGCGTCGAAGTATTAGTCGAGATGATTGGCCAACACGGTCAATGCCCTCTTTCCCCATGTTCTATCAGAATATGACGACAACAAATTCTCTCACTCCGATAATGCGTCAACCGCCTTGGACTTCAAAAGCCACACAGCATCAGAGCCGTTCGAGGACAGCTGTAGCTACTCGAGGGTCATCTGGCGATGTCTACCCGCTGCATTCAGCTCACCCCCATATCGATTTTGATCGTGGAAGCTCTGTGTCAAACCTTCGCCGGTGCTTGAGTCTGGCTGAGAATCAAAATCGGGAAATCGGCAGTGGTGGCGTTGGTTATGGTGGTGGAAATATGATGCCTTTCTCCATGGACGTAATTCCAGAGACAGATCTTCAGGCGAGTTCTCAGAATCTTGGACCCAACTCCTATCTTCGCAGGGACTCAACGATGGAGCAAATTTTTGCATGGCAGCAAGGAGCTCCTTCACTCCTGTCCTTGAATGCAACCCCAGATGGCTTTAACTGTGAGGAAAAAAGCTCTCAATCCGATTCAAGGCAGCTATTCCAAGGCTCTGCATTTCCTGACCCAACGAATCCCAGTGGTCCAAGCTTCTATGAAAGTCGAAACGAACCACTACCTGTGACTAATCCCACTGGAAATAATTACATGGCCAGAAGTGGACGAGATTCCGGTTTCATAGACATCCCTTCTCATCAGAATTTTGCTCAAGTGGATTCATCAGCCTATTCTGTGATCCATTCACGACAGCATTCTGAACCACGAATCACCCAAGAGCCACTAGATGTAAAGCAGATCTCAGATGCCTTTGAGGGGTTGGCCACAGATGCCTTGAACTGCTCTCCATCCCCGCCACCTCAACCTCAAATTCCTCAGATGACACTCTCTGAAATGGATAGCTGGTGGACTTCAGGAGCTTTCACAGCTATTCAGCAAAATAATAATGTTTTGGGACGAGGAATTTGCCAGAATTGGAATGTCTATCAGAATGGCATCTTTACTTCAAACGCAAGTGGTGCGGGAGTAGGAGAAACCCAACCGCTCAAGGCGAAGTAAACCCCTTTAAGTGCCTAATTTATTTTTTTCTTTCTCTTCCTTTCCGCCTTAGACGTCCTTGTTATTGATAATTGTCTTTCGTCGTGTTGATCTCTCCATCTTACAATCGAGCTAAGATTTCTTTCTGCGTATGCCTGAGCGCTGTTTGTCCTGCCTCCACAGAGAGGATATTATATAACTTATTCCTATTATCAGATCCATATGTGCTTATATAGACAAACTATAAAGAAAGCAATTATTCAAGTTCTTTTTTTTGGTTTCGGAGTGTGCTATAACTGGAGTTGATAAAGATGGAGTCGACACCATAATTTTGATCCTCTTATGAGTAAATATTTATTTATATCAAATGGCAGGCTTCTGGCTTCACAGAGGGAAGGAACATCAAAGTCAAAAAAATGTCGAGAAGGAAACAGAAGAGAAATTCACAGATGTAAAGGAGACAGGCGACACAAAAGTGGGGGAAAAGGTAAGGTGAGTATTGTAGAAGTGTTGGAATACGACATACAATCGGATCATGGTAGTTTTGAAGTGATAAGTCAACTACTGGTTTGAAGACTGCAGTATGAGTATACTTTGCCCTGGGTGCACCACGTGGAAGGGAGTCTATCGCTCACCCCATATGGGTAAACTTAATTTCTATTTAACTCGGACTTGAGAAGTGAATGGCAGTGTCCAAAGGAGTTTCGAAATACGAAAATCAATAATTAGAGTATACAAACTACCATTATAATCATATCTGAATTTTTCATTTGTTTTGAGTCAGTCAGTTAGTACCACTTCATTCCCTCGAATGTCAATTTTGATTAATTGGAGTTGTAAATTATAATGAGAGTTGAGTGAAATTTAGCCTTCAAACATCGAGACTGTTCCAAGTATTCGATTATTTCTGCAAGCGTTCCAATTGACTAAGTTTGTGTTATTTGTGAGACATTTACTACTTACTGCAAATGGCAGGCGTTTTGATAGATTCCATTAGCCATTTAGCTGACTTCGGGCTTCACAGAGGGAAGGTTCATCAAAGTAGCAGAAAGTCGAGGGGTGGGGAGCAGAAGAGTGATTCACAGATGTAAAAGAGGCAGACAGACACAAAGGTAGAGAAAAAGGTAAGGTGAGTACTGTAGAAGGGGTCGAATATGACAACCAGGGGGGTCGTGGTAGTTTTAAGTCAGAAGTCAAATGCCGGTTAATAGACTTTTTTGCCGTATGAGTATACGTTGCCCAGGGTGCACCACGTGGAGGTAAGTCTATCGCACACCCCATTTGTGAGACATAAATCTTAACATTGCACTACTTTCCTCTTTAGATGGCCGTACAAGGCTGTAGTTAAAGCTTAATAGTAGAGAGGATTTTATATGAACTATATCCATTCAAATAGCCCAATAAAATGAAAGCCTGTTGAAAAACGACGAAATTGATTCAACGGACTCCCAATTGTTCCAAAATATTAGACCAAGGGTTCGATAGGCACCGGTTTTGATTGATCTGGAACCAAGTAGAAATGGAAGAGAAAACGAAGGCCAATTTATTGTCAGCTAAAAGAACTTATCTGTTCAGGCTCAATTT